GGGCCAAAGGACTAGAGAATTATGCTAATTAGGATTAGGGAAACTTGAGCAGGATTCAAAATTTGATTATCACAGCTCTAGACTTCTTCATGGGCCAGAGCTGCACAAATGCCAAACAGTGCAAATTAAACGATATAATAAAGAGCTCAATCCCCATTCATACATCCTAAATAGGCTACCAAGTAAATATGAATTAAAATGTCTAGAAATGTAAGATACACAAAACATAGAACACACATGGAAAACACAATGTCAGAAGGTCTATAATTTTATTAGGGGTAGGAGGATCTGTCAAGTTTGCTGGGGATATGAACATGGCTTGATTTTTTTCTTTTTTCTTGAGACAGCTATCTAGACAGTTTGGATGAAGAGAACGCCTACTGCCTAAGTCATTAGCAAGGTTTGGCTGGTTTTCAACAAATGGCATGGAATAAAAAAATTTGTTTTACAAAGATGTTTCCTGAGCACCTTGTATGTGCCCGGTGTTGTGCTCAGTACTTACGTAGTTGATGTTAACACCAGCAAGCGACTGCCTTCAGAGCACTTTTGAAAATCCATGTAATAGGAGTTCGAGGCCAGGAGGCAAGACCTCCCTCAGCTGGAGAAGATCAGAGCAGGCTCAGGGAAGGGGAGTGATTAAAACAACACTCCTCTCTCTTCCTTAGCACAGGATACTAAGGACCAAAGAAACCTCCAACCTTTGGGCTACGAGCTCACCAGGGTCAATTTTGGAAGGGCTTGGATGGCGGGCATGGGCAGGGCTGGCATGTAATAGAGGCTCAGCAAATACTGAGTGCTGTTTAAAAAGGTCACTGCCCTGAGGAAGGGAAAGTGGTGGTGGTGCTGGGACCTCAACCCAGCCAAAATCAGACTAAGCTGGTGCATGGACACTGTCAGGACAGTGACAAAGTGGAGTGTAGGCCAAAGGAGCAGGGATAAGGTGGTGGAGTAGGGGTTTGAAACCATACCACAGCCATCCTTCTGCCCATCCTTTTAACCATCTGAAAACATTTAATGAGATCCTTCCCTGCCCAAGGCACCGACCTTGGTGTTGGGGATGTGATAATGTAAGAGACAGGAGTGTGCAGTGACTCGGGTGATACAAGAAATCCACTGACTCTCTTCTAAGCTGCATGCAGTGCTAGCAGTTCTAAAAAAGTTTAAGGAGTTTAACAGAAGAATGATTACATCTGCCTTGCTTAGTAACATCTCACTAGCAGAACGCTTGATGGTTTGGAGAGCACTTTCTCACGTAGTAGCTCATTTGATCCTTACGAGCCCGTGAAACAGGCAGGAATTATGCCACCCGTCTTAAGGATGAGGGAGCCAGAGTCTGCGAAGCTAAAGAACTCATCTGAGGTCACTTGGTGAGTTAGAGGCAGAATTGGGATGAACTTGAGTTTCCAGATTCTCAGTTCTTTTGACCGTAACTGCTTAATGTTACTGTTAACACAACATGGGTTTAACATGTTCAACTGGAAGCTACTACATCATAGGGATTTAAATATGGAAAATAAAAAACTGTAAAGGTGTCCTACATTTAAAAACATCAGGCTGGAAACAAAAGTTGATTTCTCATATTTCAAAAACCACTGACTGGT